GTATACTATTAAAAGCTATTTGTTTTTATATATAGAAATATATAACGCATACGTTATCAATACTAAAAGCTATATGGTCATGAAAAAGTCGGCTAAAATGCTACAAGTATACCTGTATATACTCCACTAAGTTAGTGCAGAATTTTGTAAAATGCTTTCGAGTTTAAGTCTTTAAGATATTCTGAGCAAATTGGTTTTAGTAGATGGTAGTTTAAAGAAAATGACGATGTAATAAAATCGTACATAAATATTCGTAGACCGTCAGAATAATATGTAATTTCTCTTTCAATTTCTAAGAAGTCCTTCATAAATTTTACATCCCTTTGTGGCTGTAAAAATAAACCTTGAACTTTTCTGGTTTGAATGAATATCTAGAGATCATGCAGTGCGACCTTCACCTTGATACTCCATTTGGCATTGGAAGAAGTTTGCTCTTTATGCGACTATAGGAATAGATTTTCACTGAAAAATCTTATTTAGTTTTTTCAACAATTTTTTATTATTTGTTTTATAATACTTAATTTCAAATATTTAGTTTTACTTATTTTCTCGAGAGGAGAAGTGTAGGGCGGCCTCCCACCAGATGGAGTGACGACCTCATTAGACATGCAGGAAGGCAATGGACGCAGGTGGCTTAGGACCGTGCTTTGTGGCATTCCTTGGAAGACGTCCATGCTCTGCAGTGGACTTGTGAATGACTGTAATGATGATGATGATAATGATTTATTTATAACGTAATAGAGCCATGTTGTAACTGTATTATGGCTGCGACATGACAAGGTCGCGCTATCGGAGAAGGAATACTCTAGCAGAACAGCAGTATAATATTAAAATATTTTATATGGTGGATAATTAAAAAGAAACCCTTTTTATGGTCCCGTATCCAAAGGGTAACCAACGAGACCCGTCTATCTGTCAGCGGGCTTTATCTCATGATCCGTAATAGGTAGACAGTTGAAATTTTCACAGAATGTGTATATCTGACGCTATAAGAAAAAATAATAACCATAAAAATAAATTAGAAATTAAAAGGTACGGAAACCTACGTGTGCGAGTCCGACTCGCAATTGGCCGGTTTTTTACTGGTAACTTAGTTTTTTATTTCTCAGGGGTGACAATGCATCTGTGTTTTCTACCGACTTCAAAAAGGAGACGGTACTCAATTCGAATATATATTTTTTATGTGTTACCTCATAACTTTTTTCGAGGTGAACCGACTTCAATGATTCCTTTTTATTTGAAAGCTGGTGCTTCTCATATGGTCTCATATTTGATCAAGGTTTGATCAATAGTTTTTGAGTTATTCTTAATAATTTATATTAAAGTCAGTTGTAGAAATTTTTTAATTTTTAAATTATAATGCGCGTATGTGTGTTGTATTGCATGTATTGGGTGCATATTTTTGCAAACTAATAATGTGATTTCGTGTCTTTATTAGCGTTTAATTGCTTTACGTCACTCAAAGGCAGCGCTCTCCGTAAACGGTAGGCGAGCAACGCGTGTTCAAACTCCGCCAGCGCTTTTCAGTGCTTAACACATGATTGGCGGCGAAGACAAATATCGTAAGGAAACCTGCATATCTGAGGAATATAATATTTCGAGGATTTTAAGTTTGCCAACACTTCCTGGAGTAGTGCGAAATAATTGCTCCATAACGTTACCGTTACAGTCTATCAAAAGTCCACTGCAGACTATAGGCCTTACCCATAGATCCCCTATGAGGCAGGGTATTTGTCATAGTTGCTACGATTTACAATGCGCAGGTAGAAGACTAGTTACTTTACTTCTGTCGCCTCTTACGACAATTGTTTCATGATCTTCTCAAAAATGAGAGCAGGCCTGTGCCCTGTAATGAGATGAGTAAAGGCTACAAATTTGTTTTATTTAACTTTTTTTTTAATTTTACATAAAATATTTTCAAACCAGGTTCAGACGCATTGGGAACAAACCTTGCAGTCCTTGACATTCAAGCAAGGCTACGATAACTATAGCCCAGAGCTCTACAGAGCACGTGTACTTTTTAATTTAATGTGTTCTCAAGCAATATCAAGAATGAGAACTTGCACTTTTCAGAGCGGAAAAGTTTTATTACCCTTATAAATAAACATTGAATTTAACTTGGGCAGCATCTGTATTCTTTTGTTTTTCTTTAGAACAAAATTTAACCGGACATATTCTGTGCTGTTATAGTTTGGTGAGTGGGTTGAAAACCGTTTGAAGAGATTTCCAAAAAAGAAAAAGTAATTTTTTCATTTTGTAAACGTATTATGAAACACAACATTTGATATTGATCATTCATCCATTTCATTTCAACTAGATCTTAGAAGATGATAACTGAAGCCAGAGTTTTACTATTTTAAATTAAAGATAGTTTGATGATGAACAAACCATCTATGGTGTTGTCGGATTCTCCGATTAAAGAGTTAAGGCTATGCAGGAATTCGATAGATGCAGGTGGCTAAGGCCTGTGTTCTGGCATTTTTGAGAAGGCCTACAGTCAGCAGTGAACCTATGAATGATGCTAATTAATGACTTTTTTATATAGGATAGGGTGATAAACGAGCACACAGTCCACCTGATGGTAAGTGGTTGCTGTGGCCCCTAGACATTTACATCTATCCTCGTTTGCGAATCAAAATGCAGATGCGTTGTCACCCGTGAGGGCTATGATGGAATGCCTCTTTTCCAGTAAAAAGGGTCTCCGGTTCTCTACACTCACCATACAACATACAAACACAGCAGTTTTGGTTTTCTGTGAGAGGGTGGTCCTTTCCCTGGGTCGAGCCGACCCATTCGTGCTACTAACATAGCTGCAGTATGGCTCTACCACGTAAAAAAACTTGACTACTTTAATTTTCACCTTGTCTCATAAAAAATAATTACAGAGACACTGTTAGTTTGTAATTATAATATGCGTGTAATACTGGTGTATTATAAGTCATTAATTCATTCGTTTACACGTTGCATACATAAATTAAATTGTGCTGACTCGTTATTAAAGTAGGTAGTTTAAACCACATAGCAACACCTATAAAAGTGCCCACATCAACCGCCTAGGTGTTACATCTTTAACACCCTAGCGCTCTTCTCTCCCTCCTGTTTGTTACATACCCTAACATTACGCTACTGACCTATATGAAACCTAAGCAACCCTTGCTCCTTCAGGGTACTTTTAATTATTCAAAGTACTCTCAACCAGCGCCCTGTTAGGGTTGGCAAAGGCACGGTGTAATTCTATATAAATTTCTCTAAGTTGGTATGTTTATTAAGGTAACTTTTTTATTTCTACAGACGTGAGTTATGACTAACGAACGTAATTTTTTTTAAATGTAAACATAAATTAATCATCTCTTAAGTGCTTGCTGGCTTTAATTAGATCTGCTTATATTGACAGAAATGTAGTGCAGAAGTAATTAGTCTAGAATATACTTTAAATAGAATTTTAAAAAAGTAACAACGTAATTACGTATCACTGCAAGGAGAGGTTTCGTGTCATTTTTGAGAGGGTTTTGGGGCAGGTAGTCCACTGCACTGCTCCAGTGCGTGGTGGTGGACTTCACATATCCTCAAAATTATTCTTCATCAGACATATAGATTTCCTCGCAATGTTCTGCTTCGGCACCGTGCACGTGGTAAATCAGCTCTTAAAATTGCAACTAACAACTTTATTGGATGTTGACAGTTCGTTCATAGCACAGTGGCTTAGGATGCAGCGCTAAGGGCCGCAGGTTAGAATCCCACACGGAACATGAATTTGTATGGACTAGAAATAATTGTTTCGGGTCTGAATGTTTGTCATTGTGTAATTTATGTTTATTCGCTCTAACTATAAAGGGGAGAATCCAAGTGTGGGAGTAACGTGTTTTAAAAAAAAAGGAAAAAAGAAAGATGGCGGGATTCAAACTCACGTTGCTTGCGTATTGTGAAATGAGTGCGGGCGCTTTCCTAGTTCTCTGTTGATTTAGTAAGAAAATTAGTAGCAGTTTAATGATAATAGTTTACCGTGTGATGGCGGCGTAGAAAATCCAACAACTTATTTCGTCCAATGGATGTCAAAAGAGGCAAGAGAAAAAATCACATGAGCTCCAATAGATGACAGTAGAACCATCTCGTTTACGCTTGATGTAAATTACACAAAGCAGCGATGGGCCACAGCGTCAAAAGTGCGGACATCTGGTGTTGACAAGACAAGTCAACAAGTTCATCAATTTTCAACAGTTGACGTTTACGGGCTGATGATGAAGACGAAGATTGTGCCAACATTTAAATCAAATCTTGGAACACTATAACACAGGCTAAGGTACGGATTCCGTTTCTCAAAGTATAATACCAATTACTCCATTATCGTGAGGGAGTACTAACCATGTCCAGCCTAATATTTACGCAAGGTTACTTTATACTTACTACTTTATATTAATTTTTGGTGCCGGCAACAATGAAATTATGAATTATAATTTTAAATATTTTACAAACTGACTAACCCGCTATCCGAGAATTAAAAAAAAAACTAAAATACGTGAGGTTTGCTGATAAGGCAGTGCGATTGCATTTACCGCACTAACTATTTCTCGACAATGAGGAGAAACCTTGAGACTTTACTTTTATAAATTTGCATAAATGCCAGCTATTTTTATAAATGTCTAGTGTTGTTGGCTTATGAACATATTTAATGTCAACTACGAATATTACAAAAAAAAAATTCAAAGAATCAAAAATATTTACTTTTATCAATATTTATCATTGTTATTCGTTATCGGATACTAATTTCCATAATGCCTAATGGAAAGGAATTTGAAATAACTATAACTTGATAATTAAAACGTCATAAAATTATAACAATGAAAGAAAAATAAAAAAAAAGAATTTTACATATTAACCTATGATAAAAATAAGCAAACAAATGAAATAGTATTAACCATTACTTTTATATAAATACGCGCGTTAATACTCTCTACATTATTTATTATTGGTATTGTGTAAGTTTACTCGTATTTTGTAAAATGTTTTATATTCTACTTTTTCTAATTAGTATCACTGCCGCTTTTGACGAAGAAATTCATTTCAAATACGAGACGTTACCTTGGCATGAATTTGTTGAATATTTTAATAATTTAAATTTAACATGGAAAATAAGTGTTCATAACAATAATGACGACAACCATCAGCATTGCAGTGTTATCGGACTTAACCAAACTTACCCCAAAATTACACATGATTTAAGCGTCCTTGATTTGCCTGAAATTTTTGATGCGAGAGAGAAATGGTCGCAGTGCACTTCCATTGGTAAAATATATGATCAACAAACCTGCGGATCTTGCTGGATGTTCGCTACAGCCACCACTGCAACGGATCGAAACTGCATTCACGCCAATATTAATGTAGATTTGTCTGAACAAGATTTGGGTTGCTGTGCAGATTGTTATATCGGCCCGCTTTGTCTTAATGGAGGCTTGCCAGACCGAGCTTTTAACTTTTGGATTTCTAATGGACTAGTAAGCTATGATTGCAGACCCTATAATAATGACGATTTAATGAATGATAACGTTTGCTACAAAAGTTGCGTAAACAATAAAGACTATGTTCAAGATAAGAATTATGGTGGCAAAATGTATACCGTGGCAGCTGATGCTGAACAAATTAAAGCGGAACTTTTTACAAACGGTCCCGTAGCAGCAAGTTTTGTGGTATATGATGATATAAGAAACTATACCAGTGGTGTTTATGCACACAAATATGGAAAAAGATTAGGCAATCATGCTGTCCGCATAATTGGATACGGGGAGGAAAGTGGCGAAAAGTATTGGTTAATTGCTAATAGCTGGGGTATGAATAGAGGAGAAAACGGGTTCTATAAAATAAAGCAATTTCAAGAGGATATACAATTGGAAAATCACATAATTGCGGCTATACCCAGGGGACAATAAGGAATATTAAAAAATTTAAATTTAGGGTTATAAGAATTTAAAAAAAAAACTTTAGAAATTTACATAAATATCAAGATTTTTATATTTAATGTGTATAACGCAAACTAACTGACAAGTTTTAACACCTTTTCCTCTCTTAACGCAAAAACTATTACACTACGCACTTGTAATGATTATATCCAATAAAATTAACATTTGTAGTATTAAATATAACGATTAAAAAAAGTGTTTTAAATTTGTACTCAATATTATCATGTTAAATGTAATTTATTAATACAACTTACCAAGTTTTATTTTCAATAAATCAATTAAATTAGCCGACTTCAAACCAAGGTTTACAATTTGACACCAAGTTTTTAGGATACCGTACCTCAAAAGGAAAAAATAGGAACCCTTATAGGATCACTTTGTTGCCCGTCTGTCTGTCTCTCAAGTCCCTTTTTCTCAGGAACGCGTGGAGGTATTAAGCTGCAATTCATATCAAATACTCAAGTCTACTGTCCATTAGAGCTGTGAAAAAATCAAACTTTTAAGCCAACGCAATCAAAAGATACAGCCGTTTATACCGCAAATTTTCGACATTCACAAGGGAATTAAAATCTACAGGGTACTTCCCGTGAACACAGAATCCTAAAATTTGCTACAAAGCAACGTATTATAGCACAGTAAGAGGAAAAATTGCGAAAAGAAAAAATTTTGGTTACATCATATAATAAAAATATTTAACGGATTTGTTCGGAACCCTCGGTGCGCGAGTCCGACTCGCAATTGGCTAGTTTTTTTTAACGTATGTTACGCGATATGATGGTAAATTTTGAACCGATTTTGATGACTCTTTTATTAATTAGGTTATACTACATGAGTAATGTATAGGAAATAAAGTTTTTAATATAACTATTTAGATAACCATGAGATAGTGGTATTCCTTACTCCATTCAAAACTTTAAAAAATAATTTATAATAAAATGTAAAAGTCGACTTAAAGGAACTAAAAAGAATAAAATAATTTCACATTCTGATGTCGGAGATTTCAATCTTCTATAAAATACGTCACAACACCGACTACTAAGAAACTCAAAATTGTTTCAATGTGTTGTTGGAGTCTTGCTAGTTACCGCACAACATACAAATATCGTTTAAATAATTCTGTCTTGCTTAAATTGTACCTAGATTAGGCGAATCAAGAAAATTCGAATCAAGAAATCCAGTACATAGTGAGGGTGAGCTGACCACCTTGTCATTCGGTCGTAATTGTAAAATATTAGTATATTATTAACGCAAAATGAACCTATCAAAATTAAAAGCACTTTATTTTTTTAAACGACGCATAATCAAGTAACCCCGGGGCATTATGCAAAACTGAAGCAGTACAAAAAACAGAAAGAAAGACAATATTTATGTCTCTCATGTACCATTGAGCATCTAAAACGAGGCCTCAAATGAATGTAAATTTGGGCCGCTTACGAAAAATGAATTTGCATAAATGCCTAATGCTGAACGTTTATACACGTTTTAAATCCATTAGAAAGATGTTTAAGGCAACGCATTATCTAGCGGGCTTGTTAAAGTTTTCAACCGACTTCAAAATAAGGAGGAAGTTCTCAATTCAACTGGTTTTTTATGTGTGTTCCAGAACTTATTTCCAAGTGAATGGATTTTGATGATTCTGTTTTTATGTGAAAGCTAGTGCTTTTCATGTGCTCCCATATAAAAATCAAGATCTGAGCAGTAGTTTTTGAGTTATCCTTAATAATACGTATCAAATTGCCTTCAACTATATTGATGATGTTCTCGTTTTATTTATGTTGAAGTCGATTGTACATAATGTTTTAATTTTACGACTACTACATACTAGCTATCCCAGTAGACGTTGTTCTGCCTTTCCGAGTAGGTGACGCGATATTTTTTGAGTATATATGAAATTAATTAATAGTTCAACTCTGGCACGAATTATCCAATCCAGATTTTGTGATTTTCGTGTACCAAGCTCACATAATAAATTGTGATTGAGAGTAATTTTGGTCCATAAATATAGAATTTGTTAATATTTTGACTATCACTCCACCTACCGAATCTCAGAATAACTATTTTTTTATAGAATAAAGACAAATGAGCACAGTTCATCTGATGGTAAGTTAATGCTGTGGTCCATAGACATCTAAGTCAAATGCAGATGCGTTGTCTCCCCTGAGGACCAAAATGGAATGCCTCGTTTGTCACCATACGAAACACAGCAGTGTCAAGCTGCTTTTTTAATCTGGTATTCTGTGAGAGCGTGGTCCTTCCACGGTCGAGCTAAGCCATTCGTGCTACAACTATACTACTAATAGCATGGTTCTACCACGTATGAAAAAACTCAATTATTTTGTGCTATTCTCTTCAAATTGTCCTGCTTATGATATAATTAGATACATGTTGCCATGGAGAAACTCGGTGTCATGTTGTTTAAACAGATTTTTTTCAATTGCAAGGAATTATTATTATCAAACGGCATTTTTTTTATATACTTTGATAAAATACCAAAAAAAGATCCTATGACTTTTTATGATAAAGTTAATATTTTCGGAATTATGAATTTTAAATGTATGAAAAATCGCAAATTTGAATACTTTTGACTCATTACAAATATGAAATAGATGAAATATGATGAAATACAAATAAAAAAAATGTCCTTTGACTTCTTATGATTAAAAAGCTTTTGCTGTAGCACGGATGGGCCGGCTCGAACCGGGGTAGTACCACGACCTCACAGAAAATCAGCGTGTAGTAGAGGTTTACCTCTGCGTTTCGCTTGGTGAGTGCAGGTGGCCGGAGGCTCTTTTTACTGGAAATGAGGCATTCCATCTTAGTCCTCACGGGTGACAACGCATCTACATTTTGATTTGTAACAGAGGATAGATGTAGATGTCTATGGGCCACAGCAACCACTTACCATCTGGTGGACTGTGTGCTCGTTTGTCACCCTTATCCTATATAAAAAAAAATATTTTTTGAGTAGTTAATTTTTTTATGATTGTAAATTCTCTAATTCGGATACTTTTGATTCAACAAAATATATAAAGAAAAAGAATACAATATAAAAGTTTTTTTTATATTGTTTGATAATATACAAATAAAAAAAATCTCATAATTTTTGACGATAAAGTGAATATTTTTGGAGTTATTAATTTGTTAAGGTTTGAAAGATGCAGAATTCGGATATATTTGACTCATTAATAGTGATGAGGTGAAATAATTTTCTGTACTCATGCGCCATTCCTCCTGAACTAGTAAATAAAAACTCCATCTGCAAACACAATTCATTCAATAACATTTCATTCACCATTCATTACAACCTATAGAAGTCCACCGCTTACATAGGCCTCCCCCATAGATTGCCTCATAAGGTTGTCACGGTTGGCAGGCGTGTTGGTCACCGCAGTTCTTTTGCTCATCTGCCTATCTGTTCGGTTCCCTCTGAGGCTTATATGGCTTCATATTATGACGCCTGTATGACTCCTATATAGTGAATATTTTACACCGCCACTACACGGCCAACAACGAAACAATTCACAATCACAAAACACAACTTCAGCAAAACATAATTTAAAATTTAAAATTTTGTACAGCCGACTTCAATGTAAATTATTAAGAATAACTCAAAAACTATTGGCCTAACCTCGATCAAATTCATATGGGACTACATGTGAAGTATCAACTTTCAAATAAAAAAGAAACATCGAAATCGGTTCACCCCGTAATAAGTTATGAGGTAACACACATAAAAAAGAAACATACAGTCGAATTGAGTACCGTCTCCTTTTTGAAGTAGGTAGAAAATCAGGAAAAAGGTTTATAACGCTATCAATTAATCGGAGTGGATGCAGTAAAATCATTGTTAAGCCTATTAGTAATACAGACATCGCCTCTGCTCTAGATATATTGTTGCAGTTATAAGCGGAAGCGTTTTTATTTATATAAATATTACGAGCCGGTAGTTCCGTATATTATACTTTTATTTGTATTATATTTTCCTATTACTGTATTGTGTGTTTTGTTCTATTATGTTAGTAAATGATACATACAAGTAGTATGTCGCCGTAAATTTTTAAAAACATATTTCATGAATTACAGCTGCAAAGAGTATCTCAACGATGTCCTTTAAAACTAAAGTAGTAATGTTTATTTCATACAAATGTGAATTTAATAAAATGTTCATTGTTGATTTTTGTTTAATTACTGATTACAGTTGTGTAGTAAGAGAATCCATCAATTGACTGGGAGATAATGTCAAAAGGCATTAAGGCCTTTTTAACACTAAAGCATAAATTGATTAATAAATACTATATATTATCATGTTACAAAAGGAAACTGAAATAGGAGGTTAGGAACAGCAACTTTTTGATAACAACTGACTATAATAAAAAACTGCAGTTGCCAAGTGCGGCAGCTATGGCAAAACCCCCTCATGAGCCAATTTATGGGACACGCCTATGTTCTCTCGTATTTTTAATAGGCTGTTGTAATAAACGAATGAATGTGAGTATTATGTAACGTAACAAATATAATTATATACACACAGGCACACACATACACACACACACCCACACACACCCACACACACACCCACACCCACACACACACACACACCCACACACACACACACACACACACACACACACACACACATATATATATATATATATATATATATATATATATAAGGATAAGTAATCCAAAGTATCCAAAGTAGTATTAAAAGGGTATTTCGGCGTGCACTGATAGTGTGAGATGCCGAGAAAGAAACTAACTAGTTTTAGAAAAACACATCACAACCCCATTGAAAAAGTATATTAATGTGATTTTTCTTACTCTAAGAATCAGCAGTAAAAAAAAAACAATTGATTAAAAATATAATTATTACTGTCGCCAGACGCTTATGGTTAGTAACAAAGTCTGTTATCGTAGCATTGACGACTATTTATCAACGTCTTGTCTCGGGTTTCCGACCATCCGATTAC